CGATTCTCTCAAGTTTCTCCCGCTATAGGGTTGGAAAAAAATCGTGTATTTAAGATATACCATTTTATTATCTTAACTCAGCCCAACACTAATCTGAGCCTTTGAGGCAAATCAAAGCTGATTTTATAATAATTAAATGTTTGTTTCGATCGGAATACTTTAGCTTTACCGGTTATTTGAAGTTTTCACATAATGATATCTGCTCAGGAATGAACCCTCATTTTATTACACTTATTATCATTTGAAAAAATAGTGAAGTTCGATAAATTTTATTTATTAAAACAATATTAAAATCTTCATCACGATAACAAATGTTATTATTATATTCATGTAATCTGTCTATTTTAGAAATTCTCACATGCAGAAGTAAATATTTCACTTATGTGGTATTCGACGATCTCACCACCTGTGCTGCATTAGATCTAAAAAGATCGCTAAAGCTTGAAAAAAAAGAATACCGAAATTTATAAAGCAACATAAGTGCCTTGTTTTCTTATGGACAAAAGAAATTTTCGAAATACCCACGGTATGAGTATCTAGGAAATTTTCTACAAATTTTAAAATTCAATTTAGTTATATCACACCTTTCAAGTGCATTGTTACTGCAATGTAATTGATGTTTAAGGAACTAATTCTAATATTATGTAAAACCAGAGATATCAGTTCGTTAGCAATTACCGTCTCACGCGGGCGAAGCAACGGGCGAAGCCTAGTTCATTATATATACACGTAGACAAGGACGTCATTGGACCTACACATTGCTGTAAAGTCGACCTCCCTATCTCTCAGCCATTCGTTGTAAGGACGACGGGACGATTCCAAATCGTTATAACGTTAAAATAAGAAACCATTTACATAATTATCCGCTATAATCTCGTTTGCGTAGACCCAGACCGGTTACGGTATCTTACCGCGTAGGTTTAGCGTCGCGTCTGCGATGCGTTATTTACGCTGTGAATCGTTGTGATAGGACCCGATAGCCGTTTAAAACATTTAACCGAAACCAATATCTACAGTAACATTAAGTGCTTTGTTTGTTTTTTATATAAGACTAGCTGACTCGGCAAACGCTGTTTTGCCAAATAAATTATTTCTAAGAAATTTGTCAATCTGAATACATAGAAAGAGAATTTTCGGAACGCACGCATAAAGTATTTGACAGGTTACACTGACATAGTTGACAGGTTAACAGGTTAACAGGTACAGTTTGTATGGGAAAATAAAATTGTTGCTAATTCGTATTCCATGTACATTTTCCATAATTTATCATCGTTTAAACCTTCCCTGATCTGCCACAAATCTTTCAAAACCAAAATTAGCCAAATCGGTCAAGCCGTTCTCGAGTGTTAGCGAGACTAACGAACTAACGAACAATTCATTTTTATATATATAGAAGATGGCAAGCATGCTGGCGGTTAACCTGATGTAAAGTGCGCCGCCCATGAACATTTGCAACATCCGTAGGGTTGCAAATGTCTGTTCTATGTGATGATTGATTTTCTTCAACTACTTCATGTATTCACAACAATTTTCTGTGCTTTTATCATCATCATTTCAGCCTGTTTGTGTCCACTGCCGAACATAGGCCTCCCCCACAGACTGCCACGAAGCACGATTCCAAGCCTGACTTCCCGCACATTTGCACAGGTCGTCACTCCATCTAGTGGGGGCTCGGCCTACACTGCGAAGGTCAGAACGGGGCTTCTACTCCCATTGTTAACAGATTCATCTTTCTTCATTTCTTGATCACCTTTCTTCCATTGTTAACAGATGCGTTGCCACCTTATATGGCCACCAGGAAACATGTTTGATTGTAAAGGAAGTAACAAGGTTTTTACCTTGTTACTTGAGAATTTCACGCATTAGATCGCTAAAGAAGGTTAATTAAAAAGTAGGCGACTTGAAATATTTTTCTTCTTTTTGGCCTGGTCCCACTGCCTGGCTGCCTTCCACGTCTCAGTGCTACATAATTCGGAGTGGACGGGTGTTGCAAGCAATGTCTTATATTAAAATATGCTTTACAATAAGCTACCTTAGCGTTAATATAATACATTCTTTAGCGTTAGTAATAATACATTCTATTTGCATACAAACGTCATTGGAAATCGTGATCGGTGGTTTATCGACGATTCGTTAACCTTCAGAGTTCGGCGCGTGTCGACAAATGATTGTTCGTGGGTGTTTACGTTGTCCTAAATCATGAAATGGCCGCGTGTCTGACACTGTATTCTCTACACTTGTGGATTTAACCACGCTTTAACCAGGGCGTCAGAGTAGGACGTTAGTTTAGGTATTACGTATTTACGGCTTGCACACGGAAGCCATATTACGTATTTATTACTGGAAATGTCAGTGATTTCAAAATTTGTTTCATTAATGGAGACTGTCACGTTCAACTGATAATGCGATTGCTTAGTAAATGCCCTAACTCAGCAGCCGAAACCTAAAAGTAGTTACTTTTCTTCAGGCTTCTCAGAAGACCTTTCTGAATGGTCTGACCATATTCAAGCAATGACAGGAGCTGTTTCCAGACCCATACGTAGTATCAATACAAAAACTGAACAATAAAGCCCTGAAATGATCAAATTTTTTTATATATAAAATTTTGATCCGATTTGTGTCCACAAAATTCAAAAATTTGGAAATGGATTGACTTGATATTTATTCACAACATAGCAAGCATATCTTGGATCATCCCACGCTTTCCGGGTACAGCAATACTGAACAATAGCAGTAACTACGCTCACCTAAGTCCAGGGGAAACAAACGCAGAAATTAACTTTTGCACGGGTATCCCTACTGTCTGCGACAAAGTCAATAACTTACAATCGCTGCTACCATGTGATCAATACTGCTATTAAGGTCTTGGCATCTCGTGTTTCTATATAAGGAAAAAACAACTTGGACATTTTAACATACATAGCAACAGCATATGTACATATAACCTCCAATTAGCACTTTTAGGCTCAAGATGAGGTAAGTGCAAAATCCATAATCATATTCATTGAATGGTTAAATTTTGCAAATTTTATTTCGACAGAAGTTGTAGATATATTGTATACCTAGTATTTTAATTAAGCCTTTAAACTGTTTCGTAAATTAATTTCCAAAAATAAACTAATCAATTTTAAGTAAGGTCCGGGGAACGAGATATTTCCTCTTCCGAGAAATTTTGCCTTCCCTGTTACCTACAAGTAGAACAAATTAAAGAAAAATATGATAAAATTCTCTTTATTATGTGTAAACAACATTTACAAGTAATAATCTTATCCTTTAAACGAGCAATTCTTGTATATATATATATAATAATAAATAAATATAAATATATATATAATCGGAATCTCGGAAACGGCTCCAGCGATTTTCATGAAATTTAGTATGTGCATAGATTCGGGGGCGAAAATTCGATCAAGCTAGGTTTCATTTTTAGAAAATGTCCTTTTATCCCTGTTTTCAGGGAATGAATAATATAATTCGAATATGACGGTAAATTTCGCCGCAAGAGCAAATGTCATAATAGCTAGGTCGGTAATAGGGCGGCCCCAAAACAGACGGCCGTGGTTTGCGTCACGATCATTTACACATTTATTTTTTTACTTTTTTTTCGATTCCAGATCATTGCTTTCTTTATTTTTAATTTTTTGTCGATTTGTTATTTTGTTAGGTTTTTCCCCTTTTTTTTAAAGTTCTTTCTTTTGTAAAAAACATCAGTTCATATTTTCTTATTATTACGTAGGTAATATCGAAAATACTATATTTCCTCCGGGTACTATTTATTAATAATCGAATTGGTCATCAATTGTCATTGAGGACGCAATATAACCTAAAGGTCATATTGGTTTTAGGTGTGTTTACACAATTTATCAGGCGCTACACTCCTTATCTAATTAAAATATTATGTACAATATTGTTGGTACTAAGTGTAAGTTATATACCATAATGTTAATTGAATCCAGTAGGTTTCCGTAGTGTAGCGGTTATCACGTGTGCTTCACACGCACAAGGTCCCCGGTTCGATCCCGGGCGGAAACAGACTATTTTGTTTTGTTTTTTTTAAACATGACTTTTTACGATGATATTTTTTATTCTCTATCATAAATTTATTCAGATAATTTTCAGTTTTTTTCCCCACCTTTCAAAAGTTTGTCAACGCATCTACAAACTCTCGGGTGTTGCAATTATCCATGGGCAGCGGTCATCAATTAACGTCAGGTGAACCAACTGCTCGTGTGACAACTTTTCACGTAGAAGATTCAAATAAATCTAATGTTTTAAGTGTCTTAAGTGTCATCGAACCAATTCTTGATATGGCACGTTATGGTCCTTACGAGCACAAGCACACAACAATTGTTTAAGAAACGAACTCCTTCTCGGTTACTTTAGGGACATGAGAAAAGTAACTCGGCTGATTACAAGAAATCATAGGCTATGTCTGCTGCATCGAGAGTAGCACTCTGATTATCTCGGTCATGGTCACAGTGCCATGGCATTTGAAATTTTAACATTGTTATACGTCAGCATCATTGCAATGTAAAGCAGATAAAACAATAATTTATGCTACTGACGTACCCAAGTATATAATTAGAAAAGAAAGACTTACAACGGTAAAGCTATTAGACGCTTTCCCTGTTATCACAGAGAGACGGACGACAAAATCAATGGAACATGTGTAAACTGTACCCTGTCAAAGTCAAAGTTTCTTTATACATATATATCAATAACTCAAGCTCTTATTAAACATCAAAAAAAACTTTCTTCTATTGTATTCCACAGTATACGAAACTGTACGATCGAGCCCCAAACTCTGCTACGGCAACGCCAGAAATCGATGCTCTACGCCCTAGCTCTATGGCGATGCTTGCATCGGCTCCACGACCCAGATCTGTCAGCCGTCCCCGTTTGCCGCGGCTGGTAATCGAAAAAGAGCCGGCAACGAGGTGCACACGTGCGCTGAGCCGCCCGCATTCATCCGACGGCGGGGCAGCGCGTCGAACGATTTACATAAAGGAACGGCAGCGGAGTACACTTCGCGGGGCGCCGATCACAATTAGTCTATTGTTCTTCGAAAGACCGCTTTCGACAGTGAAACAATGGGCCGCGGCTCGAGTGTCAGCCATGCGGGCACCTTTATTCGAACGGTCCGCGCCGAATCCACGCCGCGCGAGGGGCCACAGTTGCGTCGCCTGCAACTCCAAGTCTCCCTTTGAATTCATAGTCGGTGACATAATTTTCGTGTTTTATACTTACCTCACCTCCATAGGACAGGCCTTGCCTAGTGTAGGGGTCAGAAGTTATAACGTAATTAGGCTTTTGCAGAATAAAGTAATTATTGTATTATATCATGATTACTTTATTACATTGACAACTTTTGCTGCGAACATTGTTCGAACTTGAAATCGTGGTCGAAAGGTATGAATAGGTACCACTAATATTATAACGTACCCGTCAACGGCTGTTGTAAGCGATGATAGTTTATCCAATGCAATGTCAGTCAAGAAATTGGATGTACTATATTATTATTTTTTGATTTATTTCTCCGAGATGTACATATCCTTGATTATAAATACAACCATCTTTATCACACGTCTTTTAACCCTAAAAATTAGAAAGACAGTTTCATGGAATAAAAATTTTGTGGGGTTTATTTTATATTATTTAATTTAATTCCCATTCCACTGTCAGCTTTTCCCTAACCTCATGTGTCTATAATAGAGAAAACTCATTGAAAATTAATTTTCTTCAGTTTTATTTAGGACGAAATAAAGTATTGGATAGGTTGCTTTTACGACCAGCCGCCTGCGTGACGTCAACCGTCTAAAAAAAGTACCAAAATCCGGGACAATTATCTGCTGGTCACATAAATACTATTATAATACGAACCCATGATCCCCGGTATCAAAGCCAATAACCTAGTAACTACAACACGGAATCATGTATAATTGTCAAAAATATAGTACGGTGTAGTATTATGTATACAACCCAAACCTCGTGAGATGTTTGTCTCCTTGTAGAAAGCTGCTCTATGACACAGAGTAATTTTATCATAAAGTAAAGGTTGTGATTAAGAAAAGAGACTAGAGACGTAGAGTTAAATCAAGTGGAAAACTAAAGTCGGACCGCGACGTGAACATACATGTTTTATTGTAAATGAGTAAAGAAGACTTGTTTAGTTGTATAAACTTTATTTGATCACTTACATGATATGCACGTTGGGCGTTGACAAGAATAAGAAGGAAGTAATATCTATGAACGACCCAATATATAGTAATAATCATAGACAATAATGTTACAATACAGACAAAGAAGCGCAAAGAATGATGATACGTGCTATTCAACGGAACGTTCGGGTGATTCAGAGCGGTTTAGCGACTATCGCGGATTCCGTTAAATGAATGAAGTTGCTCCACTTGCGACCGTGCTATCGTTTCAACAAACGATTGCGGTTAAAGTTTTCCTTCTCCAACTTCAGAGCATTTAAGCCAATTCCGTCATCGGGATAAATGCTATTTCACGTACTATATATGTTAAATGATATCTATCGAGCGTTTTATTTCTCTGTAATCGTATTGATCTTTAAACCTTCATATTAAGTTTACAATAAGCGCGAATATAGATGGTTCTAACTTTCATTTCTTTGTATTTATAATTTCCCTTGCTATTTAATGATTGGTGATCCTATATTTTTGGGAATCATAACCTAATAAACATCATAATGTTATCAACGTGAAAGGTCTTTTACTATTTATTATTCGGACGATTATTATTTATATTTTTGATTAAGAAAAAGTACTGGAAAATTGTTATAACTAAATATCTGAAACTACTTACGTATCAGTATTTATTTTATAGTTTGTAATGTAAGAAGGATAAGTTATAGCTTGAATGTCATAAAGATAAAAGTTATAGCAATTTTTAGAACCCAATATTTATTTTATTTTAAACAATTTTTTTCTTGTTTTTATTTTTGTAAATTAAATAAGTATTTGTTGTTCTAATTTTCATATTTTATTACTACTGCCAGTTTAGTAGATTACTCTTCTCTGTAAATGAATTCTTTCATTCTACGTTGTGTTTACCTTTAATTTAGATACTTTCTTATGTGCATCACCAGAATTAAAATGTTTTATTTATCTATTTACTTATTACGCCTATTTAAATAAATAAACCGTTCCAGTGATGATAACATTAATCTAGTAGGATATGTGAAAAAATAATTCCTATAAGAATAGTGAACAGCGGCAACTAACTGGCACATATTGGAATGAACCGGATGCAGCACATAATCAAATTTAATAGCACACTAGAAATCCTACGTGAGTCAGTGACAGCTTTGGTTAGAATTTTCCTTGTACCGCAATTTCTCGCTGAATCGCTACCAAGAAATTCTTCATTGTAAGGAATCACGCAATATCTTTTAAATGTTACTTTTCCTCTTATCGCGCTGAAGGATCGATAGGCGTAAAAGTATCTGAAGGTAATTGCAGTCAACTTGGCGTTACAGTCGAATATGAAGGTAATTGCAGTCAACATTCTGGAATTAGTTGTCGCCAGGGTCTTTCCAGAAATTTCTGATTAGAGAACTGGAAGAGAGCTCTCTGTATTTGCGAATGGTGATCACTAACCGTGCAGTCGCTTGCTTGTCAGCTAACTCCTAAACAATTTTTACAAGTGTCAAATATACCTTTGTAATATGCCTAAACTTATATTTATATCATTCCTCTATTGTTCCATAAGTGAATTGGGTTAAACTCCAATATCCAACGATTTGTGTGTATTTTAATGGTGATACGAACGAGAGGCAAATGTATTTACGTCTTGGAGGCTCTGACACTATTTAAACAACGTTTAGCGTTACACTATTTGGCCAATTCGTTAGTTACACGTGAATCATTTACTAGCATGTCTCCACATGCGTTAGGAGCACATAATGTGGGATTGAGTACACTGTTTTTGTGTATGCGAGTACGCGTGACTGGGCAGCTTTTTTTTTCGTGAGCGTATTGCATTTTTTCAACGTGGAAACAGATAAAATATCGCATAGAGGAAGCCCGATCCGAAACCCGGTATTACTCGCAACCCTCGCTGCCGTTGTTTCTGATACCATATTCCGCGCATGAATTGCTCTATCTTATTTGCATACGCTTACGTTAATTCGACCCCCGGTGTTTTTTCTTACCGGTTACTCTAACTAGGAAAAAACCTATCGGAGGGTTAGCATTTTTTTTGTGTTTTCAACACTCACAAAAAAATAATTGTCATTATATTAATATCGTGTGGAACGTTAAAAAATCCAGTGTTTGTTTCAGGAACATCTGCTCTTTTTTGTATTCATCGCCGTTTTTATTATTTTATTATACGAAAGAATGCTTAAATGAATAGTCTGGTAGGCCATTCAGTAATACAAAAGATCGCTCGTAAATTACTCAGATTCAATAAAACGCTGGAAAAAACCTACTACAACTATAAACAGAAACGTCGTGACGTTGAAAGAAATAATTAAATTATGCTAAACTAGTTATAACCCTGTTAGGACCGGTTTAAAATCGATCATAGTTTTTAAATAGGTCTAACGGCCAACGCAGAAACGTCTATCAGCACTAAACTATCGTTAAATTCATTTGGGTCAGCCAGAGGTTTTTTTATACGGTCAATTGAGAGGGAGTCTAATAACGAAAAATAACTTTGTTGAGCCAAGTGTTATCATTTTGTTTCGTGTATAAGATTTTCAGTTTATAACGCATTAGTTTCAACGGTATAAAGTCGCGTTTGACATCACTCTCTTAATACAAAATCACCCAACTCCTATGTAACTCGTTTACAAATCACGTAGCGTTTTTTCCAACTGATTTATCAACGGGACTATATGGCGGCAAGACGGGCATTTATGGCCTCCCACCTATTATATTATGACAAAATTTATAGTACCAATAAAGCCTACCTTTTATAAACCTCGTATCATTGGCACTTTAAAAATGATAACGTTAGTGATGTAGACAGCTGCGAGACGTTATCGAATCGCCGAATGACAAACGTATGCCTACTATTTTAGATTACACTTAGGAATTTAGATCGATAATAAGACAACAGTCGATAAAGTGATATCTCGCAAAAAAAAATTAAAATTACTACAGTACGAAAAATTATGTTCAATGTACAATGAATGAACGAGCCGATAGTCCCTATCGATCCCAATCGCGCATCACTAACGTACTACGTGAAACGCCGACCTTTGGATAATACTTTCCAAAGTTCACAGACCCGACTACTACGGAGTGGCTTATTTGTGTTATAAACGTTCTCGAAATTTCGTCGAGATGGGTATCGATTTAACCGGACGGAACCGGTTGGAAGCGGTGCTCGGCGGATGTAATAACAGAGATTAAACAAGGCAGCGTAATAAAAGGTGGTGCTATTTGGCCGCTTTTATACGGACGCAGCATCAGGAATTTCGTGCGCCATAACGCTTTTTTACTTCAGATTATCACCCGAAATAAAGATGTCACCACTAGATAATTAAACTTAAGAATGGCTGCAGTAATTCGCACCGAACTGATATGAATGTTAAAAATGAAAAGTTTACGTGTTCCATAATGCCCTAAAGCAAATTTATGTATCGTTGTTTGGCAGAGTTTATTGTTGAATCTAATTGGATTCTGACACATTCTGTTTGAATTCTTAAAAACACGATTGTCGTTATCGTACCATTTGTCTTCGAAATATTATTTCGTGACATTGATAGTCACAGTTACACTGTTACGATGTTATGCAAATTCGTTTGTTGATTTTTAGAGTTTCGTATTTAAGCGATCAGTAATATTTGTTTTGTTGTTTGTTTTGTTTGTGCGAAGATTTTACGCTTAATAAACATAACACGAACCAAAATGTAAGATATGAAGAACTGGAAAGAAAGAAAGAAAGATAAACTTATTTGCACGTTCTAACACATTACAAGTTCATTCATTATATTTTAGCGGGTTCCGGTATAACTTTTTTTTTCATGCGAAGAATATATACTTTAGGAGACTTGTTATATATTTTTGTCATTTATACATATAATCATTTGTGGAATACTACCGTTTATTGATAAGTATTAAATGAGCACCACTTAATAAAAATACCCCTTAATATTTTTTTTTTACAATATTCCGTAATTCATGTCTACTAATAGCCACACAAGATTATTTTTTTTCATTAATTTGTGTGTTACTTCTTA